TTTTCCTCCATTTTACACTTTTTTTTTTTTTTTACACCAGGGCTCTGCCTCAAACCCATAACCCCACCCCCACCCTAAAGGAAAGAAAAAAAAACAAAGTTATAGAAAACTGATACATTGCCCTTAAGTCCTGCAGAAAAAGTCTGTTTTAAAAGCATTGTAATATAGAATAAATCTCTCTCAGTTACCCTGAGTTGAAAAGGAAAATATTCTAAAATGAACATTGGCTTTAAGTCAGTGTACGTATCTATAACATTAAATTCAATCCATCCCATCCCACTATAAATGTACACAAACATCAACTGTTGGGGGAGGAGAGAACTTAAGTTTAAAATTCATCATCCATAGCGCACCATCGCTCGCTAAAATGGTGACTTAAAAATGGCAAACGTGTCACGTTAGTGTGATTCAAGTTAGTGACCACCCCCCCCCAACTCAGAGAAGAGGTAAAAGTGAAAAAACTTGTCGCCCACCAGGAAACGACAGAAAAATGTATCCAGCAGACCTTAAGTGCAGAGTGCCGAGATAGCAGTGATGAGGTAATAAGATCTGCCGGGAGCGTTTGAGCTCAAGAAGTCTGGCGAGCATCACCAAGCGCAAGAGCAAACATGTAGTGCAAACGAAAGCGAACGAAACAGAAGAGAAAACAAAAGTCAATGTGCATCCCTGAATGCTTTTGTGTAGTGTGTTTCTATGTGTACATGTCGTTAAAATGAGTTTCCTTAAGAAGCATAATATATTAAAAGAAAGAAAATAAAAGTGATGTACAGATAAACCTCAGCAGTCGACCTTTAAAAAAAAAAATCCAGTTTAAAAAATTCGGTGTAGAGAATCCCTGGTGAAATGTATCGAGCGTGATTCCAGATTGGTTTGTTTAAACACAATCCATCAGCTTACCAATTTCCTATCTGAAATTTGTAATCTAATTCTTGAGAGAGAGAGAGAGAGAGAGAGGGCATCAGAAGGACTTAAAAATATTTGTGTTTTGTTCTAGGAATTAATCCCCCCCCATCCTCCGGTCCACAGATCAGAATATTTGTCCACTGCAAGTTCCGAGAATCAGTGGGGCGTTGGGAGGGGGAGGAGTGTGACTCATTTTGCTTTACAAAACCTTTTGTATGGTCTCACGTAATGCATGGCTTCAATGCATTTCCTTTGCAACTTTCGGTGACTGTCCACACAAACTCAGAACACCCGCTGCAGAAATGAGCAGATGTTCCCCTCTCTTTCTCTCCTTTTCCTCTTTAAATCCCTGCGTTTGTGCTGACCCAGATACTGCAAAGTGAATTGGCACAACTGAAGCCCCGTCCATCTTTTGTTTGTTTGTTTGTTTTTTTGCTTTACTCATCCTTCGTCTCAGAAGCCCCCTGTGGCTCCTCCTCCTTTGGGGCGGGGTCAGCCTCTGCCGCAGAATCCTGCCCTTCCATCCGCATCAGTTTCATCTTCTTCTTTGGAGGGTTCTTCAGCGTGCCCAGGCGCTCTTTCACCTTGTACTCCAGCGTGCTGTGGGGGATGCCGTAGATGTTCTGCGCCTTTGACACGCTCATCTTCCCGTTCATCACCACGGAAATGGCCTCCTCCAGGATCTCGCTGTTGTACTGGCGGTAGCGGCCCCGCTTCTTCCGCGGCTGCTTCGAGCTGGGGTCCCCTTCGGCGTCCGAGGTCGGGTACTGCTGCCCGGATGTTGACTGCTCCACGTCAGAACCCCAGAAGTCTGACGACCCATCGAGGATGCCACCCAGGGCCCCGCGGCGATGCTGCTTGGGTAGGATGGCCCTTAGCTTTTTGCTCAGCGCGTTCTCGGGGTGCGGAGCCACCACCAGGGAGCCATAGCCGTATAGATCAGATGCGTGGGAGTCCCAGGACAAGTCCATGCCCCGCACCTGCGGTATCTTTAGGTCCACCGGGGGGGAGTGCCCCTGCTCCTTCTTAGTCTCGTGCATCTTTGGAGCAGCCGAGCCTTTCGGCGGGGTGCTCGAGTTCTCCAGAAAAAGCGGCAAGTCCTTCAGGTCGCTGAGGGCACTGTTGGCCTTTAGCTTGAGGAGGCCGTCGAGGTGCGGTTTGACCCAGGAGGAGCCGTCCCTGGGGAGCAGGGGGTGCTGCCCGTGGTTAGGTAGCCCCGCCACCTCCGGCTGACCGAGGGAGATGCTAGGCTGGAGAAGGCGCTGCTTATGGGCCAGAATCCCCTCTTTGATCAACAGCGAGCGAGCTAGCGGGGGCTTCAGCGAGCCGCAGTTGCTGTAATTCTCCCTCGTCCCGTCCTGAAAGCTTCTCGGAGGCGGCCCGTCCTCGTCTCCATCTTGAAAGTTGTGGTCTGCTCTCATGGGACGCCTAGTTGAATGGAAGGAAACTGGTGTAAGCAAAGCTTGCACAGCTTAAGTGGAGGTTGGGTTGGGGGGGAGGGGGCTGGCCACTCCTTTACTAGAAGACCTTGCTTAGGTAACATCACTTTTTCCTCTCCTTTTAACAAAATTTGCTTCTTTACAATGAAAGGGGCGGGGGGGGGAACAAAATGAAATGAAATAAAATGGTCAACTTATTTGTTAATTTTTTTATTTTAGGTTTCTTTTTTCTGTTCACAAGATGGTTTGGAAGAACAATACAAAATTAAAAAAAAAAGTAAAGAAAACAAAACGTTAACAAAAGAAGAAAAAAAACAAACACAGGATAGGATGGAATAGATCAGCTGAATAGTTTTAGTAGAGTTTAAGGAGGTGGGACTGGGGTGGGAGGGGTGCATTTTGCAGTGAAGCAAAGCCTTGTGTGAAAGTCTTAAGAATAGACCCATATCAGGGAAAATTACAAATTAGTGTTCGGTTAGGCTTAGCTCTGTGACGTTACCGCTAAACAAGTGCAGCAATAAAAGAGTAAGCCAAGTGACACGACACATCATCACGGAGGGGAAACACCAAAACAAACCTCGCTCAAATCGAACGAGCATTTCTTAGAGTAGGAATTTACCTGCTGTAGAGCAAAGAGCTGCACGGCAGAACAGTGATCCAGAGTCAGGGCCACAACATGACGCTCAACAGTGATTTATTTTCACGGAAACTCAAATGCTTTCAAGTTCCTCTAAAATCCCACCAACCCTTGCGTTGAGCACACATGAACAGCTTCAGTGTCACAGAATTAAATCATATAACATATTAAGTCTTGTCCTGAAAAACAAAATGCTTGTTAACAGGTCAACTAAAAAGTTATTTTCCTAATTTAAAAAAAATGACGGATGAGGCGGAGACGGGGCTCGCCGGGAGGCAACGTGACAGGCGGCCATCTTGGATCACTTTTGGTATGGAGGTAGGTACCGTCTCAAATCAGGCAAATTAAATGAATGAATAAATGAACAAACAAATGAATGAATGAATGAATGAATAAAATAAAAAATAATAATAATACACATACAAAAACCTGGACATGGTGATTAAGAAACAGATCGTGAGCCAAAGAATACGGAGTCTCAGGAGGGGTCTGAATCTTATTTCGCTGAGGATGTTGTAGTATACAGACAATTGTATAAATTGCATGTCTTTATTATTTCAAGTTAAAACTAGGTCAATCTGAAGCACCAGGAAACTAACAAAACTGTCTGTGCTAATACATCCTGCACTCCAAGACTAAGAGGCAAAATGAGCTTACGATGACTGAGAGAAAATGCTGAAGTGGCCCCAGATTACAGGTACCCTGAATACTGACACTGTCATCGGAACAGAAGGCCGTGGGAGCGAGTCCACTCCAAGCCACCAGAGCAGATTCTGCTCACCTACTTCCTCACAAGAGGCTGTTTTCTCCGACAGGCAGAATCTCAGGCCACCTTCATTTGGCCTACTTACAATTCTGTTAGAATAGGAGGCCCCCACTGCTATCAAACCCTTAAAAAATCCAAGGGGATGTATGTGAAGTCAATACAGCACTGACTCTATTGCCAGCAATAGGCTTGTTCTCATACGAATAGGCCTCATCAAACAAGAGAACACCCAAGCAAAGGCAAGACCTCTCCACCAATAAGCACGCATCCTGGCATGCTTCATATTCATATCTGGGGCAGAGATCTGACTTGGGTTTCCCCAGCAGACCAGTGCTCAGTAAGACAGCCAGAATAATCGCCCCTACCTCCCCACCCCAATTTCAAATAAGAGATTTGCAGCAGAATCATCAATTAAACAATCCAATTACCAATTAAAAATAAGGAAACCATATAAGCGGGCAGCGGAACCATGTTTAAAAACTGTAAATATTGAATTTCATTGACAAATTATTACTGGGCAAATACACAAATTGTCAATCCACCACTGATTTACCACAGCGGTTTGTCAAAGTATTTTGGTAAGAATGGGTAATTCTGATCATTTGTAAGCCATATATACCATAAAGAAAGTTCCAAAACATATGGCAAACATTATACTGCGGCAATGTGTAACGCGCTCAGTTTATCAGAAGTAAAACAAGGTAAGATTTCCTAAGATTTTATAATTATTTTTTGGTTATACATCTCCAGCGACTTTAGAGAAAATGTAGCGCGGCTAAACAAGACCTGTGGATTGCCCTGCGGCGGGAGACACTGAATTATTAACACATGAAAACTCATTGGCAGGAAAAGAATATCAAACTGCCCCGGGCTTCACAAGCAGTTTATTATTAATATTATTATTTTAACCCACTTAAAACAAAACACAAGAAACCATCATCACACACACTAACCCAAGCAGAATTTACACACCCTACGGGAGTGATTCAGCAATTGTACACTCCTTCTGTTCCCCCCCCCCCACACACACACACACACACACACACTTAAAGTCTGCAAAACAGATTAAAAAGAAAATGAACAGTTTTTTCCCTGAAGTTCATAAGTTTATGCAGTTCATAAGTTCTCACTGACGAAGTGTGAAAGTACGAACACGAGCCCATATGTTCTTTATCAAACACAGCAGTGCGATGAAGTCGGGCGGAGCACAAATAAAACCTATATATGAAAGTGAAAGTGAAAATGGTGCGCTTACCCTTTCACTACTGGCGCTGTGGAGCAGCCATGAGAGTTTTTGACGGAGACGCCCCCGGTGTTGTGACCTCTTTTGGTGGAAAGATCAAGCACTCCATCTGTGGGGGAAAAAACGACAACAGCAACATTCAGAATAAGGCGGGAAACGGCCAGGCAGCGCATTAAGGCTGAAGTCCAGACTTCTGTAAACTGTCGCTGCGCCAATCACTTTCGTAATTTAAAAGACACGTAAAACCCGCAGCCCCCACAGCATAAAGCTCATTTTCAGATATATGCTTCAAAATGTTATTTTCACATAAGCCCCACGTCAGTACGCAAAGAATAATGAACTCATTAATACCAGCACTGTGTTATGACGTGTTAATAGTTCGTGTTATTAGACTTCCACCTGCAAAATGATGCCTTTTTCACTAGTTTATGCAAATGTAAACAGCATGGTCTCTAATGACATAAAATCCCCCTTTTGTTTAATCACTGTTTCAGTCCCCATTCTGCTTCCTGCCATTGTAAGCACAAAGAAAAACCGCTGGCATTTAGGTGAACCCAGGCTGGGCTGGGATCTCGGACAAAAATCACCATTAGATGAACGGTGAGCTTGGGATAGCCATGGTTCTTAAAGGAACAAAATCTAAGCAGAAACTGATTCGACTTCCCCCACCCAAAAAATGCTGAACTGTACCTGCAACTACAAACACATGAAACCATTTTCCTTTGAACACCTTCCACCAAGTACATTGGCTTTTCGTTGCCCCCGCCCCCCCATAAGAAGACTGATGTGCATGTTCTGTAAGGGTTTGTACTTTCGCTCCCAGTGCTGTGTCCGTCCACATGCTGGAGTGGCATTCCGCGTTAATGACCTCCCAGCATCGCTCACAGCTCGATCAGCAACTTAAGTACAACTGGTTTTAAGACAAAGCGGAAAAGGTTGCCTGTCTGCTTTGAAATTACGATTCTGCAGCCGCACATTACAGAGCACAGGCGGTGGTTAGCGCGAGATTACAGGCTAAAGTACAGGTTTGCATCTTTAAGGGCTCTTCTGCTGGCAGGGAGATACAGTTTGTGAGTTTCTGTTTTATCCGCATCTGCAGGTTTTTTAACGTCAGGTTTTCGGCTGACTGAGCAGGCAGTCTAGGTGCCTCTTTTTTGACAGCCAAATGACATGTTACACAACAAAATAAAGAAAAAAAAACTGTTTAACACAAAGGCTGCATCCCTAAATATATTTTACAATAAACTCGGGCTGCACGACATCACATCGCGATTATGTGGCGTATACACAATAAGCAGCAGGCCTTCAGATCAGTGGCGAAACATTTGGCCGGACATCAGCTTTTCAACACTATCCAGACGTTTACTTGTGCCCATAATTTGGTAAGCAGATGAGTAGTATGTCTAAAATATTAATGAGAGGGGTATTGTGATGCCCAAAAGTTAGTAATCTGTATAAATCTGACGTATCCTTGGTCCATAAAAATGTCAGAACTTAAACTGACACCTCTGATGCCTTTTCTTACCTTGTTTATTCACGATATCTCCTCTTTTAAAAGACGTTCTGGCTGCTGATCTGTCCCGTTCTTCACCGTCACTTCAGTGCTTATCACTTCCATGATTTACCAAAACATGTGCATTCCGCATACCACTAATCTGCTTACCAAATTGTGGGCGTAAGTAAATGTCCATATAGTGCTGAAACGCCAATGTCCAGACAATTGTTTACACCCATCATCTAAAGCCCTGGTGATAACTGCACAGATGGTATATTATCACGATTATATCACGATGCGATATTGTGCAGCACTAAAATAAATCTCTATGGCTAATCCTTCCATCTCCCAATGGCTCATCCTGGACAGGACAGGGCCTACCCTAGTCAGAAGAGGGCACAAGGTCGCGGTATTATAGGTAATATTTTGGTCAAGAGTATGTAGACACATGTCGAATATTACATAGCACCCTGACGTAATTCATCTAATATTTGGAGACTTAAAAATGAGTGATATCATTCAGGATGTTAGAATCCCAGCTAAGGGCCAGTACCTTGATCCAGGGTTTCGGGGTCTGGCTTCTTGATGGTGAGGTCCAGTGGGGAGTCCTGGTCGGCCATGAGAAGCTTGCTAAGGACGGGGTTCTGTGCAGAGGCAGCGGCGGCAGAAGCGGGGGGCGCGGCGGGCGCGGCGGGCGAGGGCGCTTTCGGCAGGCTTTGGTCCTTGGTGCCGTTGGGCTGGGGAGTGTCCTGAGAAGAGCTGGTTTTTGAGGTATATTCAGAAGCGAACTGCCGGATCATTCGCTGCATTATCTCGCGAGCCACTAGAGGAATGTGGGGGTCCGAGAAGCTTGGGATGTCTGCTGGTGGAAAGGGGGGCGGGGGGGGGTACAAATTCAATACAAAGTCAGACTTCAATATATGGATTCAAACAGCAGGTCCAATTTAAAATTTAAACCAGATCTGGTGCCGTCAGAAACGAAAGCATTGTATCCCCGGACATCCCTCTGTGATTTGGTCCAGATATCCAAGTCACACTCATCCCACACTCACCAACTTGTACAATTTCAAGAAATAGTGGACTGAACACCTGGAAATGTAAAAAATGTACTGAAACTCATGTCGCTATACATAGATCTGAAATCTCTCCCTCCCGCCAATAAGGTGGTTACTTGCATTTGTTTGTGTATGTTTTAATGCCCAATGGGATATATGCACACGAGGGTGCTGATGTATTTCCAGCAAAATCTCAACCAGCTTAAATCACTTCCACTATCCATACAGTGGCCCTTTTCATCAAAAATGTCTCCGAAAAAAATTAGTCAGTCTACTGTAACTTTAATTCGCACCCCTGACCATCCGGAGGCAAGTGTACATATCAATGACATATCAATGACATATCAATGACATATCAATGACATATCAATGACATATCAATGACATATCAATGTTTCGGCAGCTGAGTGTCTGATTTTTTTTTTTAAAGTCCAACAATTGTGATGGCCTTGATACCTCAGTGGAGGATGTAGGACAAACATGTAATACTGATGACGTTTACCAGCCAGCAGCAGCTAATGTTATGGGGCAAAATGGTTTATTCATATTTTAATTGTAATTGTTTAATTTTGTAGAATTGCATTGTTAATATTTGCCTGTTTAGGCACAATGGCCACAGTGTTTTAGTGGCCTCTGCTATCACTACAGAAAGAAAATCATTCATCTGCTTCATGTGCTATTAACATGAAAAGTGACTGTGTGGTCGCTGTCTCTGTTCACCATCTCTCTCCAAGCCCGTGCAAAGGCATAATATAAAAGCCCGTTATGCATATTAATCATCAAACATGAAAATGAATGAATGAAAATGAAACGATACGTCTTATAATCATTAAGAACGAAAATTAAAATGATGTGTAATAGATTATGACGGAATTTTAGCGTTGGACGCCGGGGATAGAACGCAAGACGAGGCATAGGAGCAATGCAAATATTGGCACCGAAAATATTCTAACCGTAGAAAGTAGGGTTGGGCCAGTATATAAATTTACACTGTAGATTATGCTGCAAAAAATATCAAAATTATTGACATCTAAACGTGATCATGAATGAGTATATGTTTATATACAGCCTATTTGGCAAGCAATACATAGGTAATGTTTGTTAAAAATGCCCTTCAAACAGTGGTCTCCTATATTTGGTTGATATGTTTTTGTAAAATCTAATTTTCTGTTGCAGGGCAGAGACACCGAGCAGAATGCATTACAATCTAATGCACCGTGTGAATGCCCATTTTATAGTGTGTTTACAACACATGACACAAATGGAAAAACTCCTGAAGACACAATTAAAGTGTTCTTTTCACCTTTTATTTCCCTAGGTTGAAACAGGAACAGGGAATGTTTGCCAAATAAATACAACGAAAATGATGTCCAACAACAAAATCACAAAAAAAAAAATGAAGACAGGAAGCTATGTTTTAGTATGTCATCACTATTTGTATATACAAGGGAACTACCATCACTGTTTGGGAGAACTTAAACAGTGACCTGTTTATGCAAGAAATCACAAACATGTTCACTTTGCTAGGGTTTAGCTGTGTTTTTGGCGGGGTAGGCTTATCACAGAACTTTTCATGTTTGTTTTCTAATCCGATAACACAATTTGACCCGACAAGAATCGACAAGAAAGAAAAAAAAAGTATTTATTGATAATATCGATTATCTGCCCAACCCCTAGTAAAAGGCAAATGAAACATGAAACAAAGCGAAATCCCAGTCATTTCAGGCATTTTTTAGGTCCCGAAAGAGAGGAACATTTGTCCATCCTAGGATAACGAGAAAGTCTAACCTCTGCTTGAAACCTATAGTTTGAAGTCCATCTATTTAGTTGCCGACATATGGAATGATGCTTTAATGATGCGACTAACGTCATTGACTGTAAGTCTGGGTAAGTTTTGAAGCAACTGAGTGTTTAAAAAAAAAAAAACAAAAAAAAACCCCTCATAATTAGTTAAGTACAGTGTACAAATGTCGGAAGTGAAGCAGCTGGCTGATTCTAAGTGGAAGGGTGTGCATATAGTGGATTCTGAAACATAATTTGTGAGATAACATACTGACAAGATCAAGTGTCTGGGCTGCCCTTCTCTTCGCCATTACTAATGCGGCGCTGCTTTAATTTTGGTGTGAAACGTCTCAAAATTTGATCAGTTCCAGTTCTTCGACCTTGTCTGCAACATGCAATCAACAACATGTCTGCAAACGTTAAAAAAGCCTAGCGTTTATCACGTAGCGTGTGTACAGTCTCAGGCAAACCAAGCAAAATGTACAGACTAAAAGTCTAGGTAACAGATTGCTAGAATGATTCAGATAGTAACTTGTTTCTGATCAGTAAGAAACTTCATTTGGACGCTTCAGTTGTTGGTTTTTGCGAAAGTGAGCAGTCCATCTAAAGCAGCTCATTTAGATCGACAACATAACATTGTGAGGACGCAAATGAGCATACAAGTCTCTAATGTCTGACTTTGAGTTATCGTGTTAACAGGATGAAATTTCTGAAACTATCCATGTTTTAACATCACTATGCAGCACTGCTTCAGGTTTGGGGCAATCCATCTCAGAATATCACCACTTCCACCCCATTGTGCCTGCAAAGTTTGAAAAGATCCATAAAATACTTTTGGAGTTACTGTGTTCAAAGACCAACTGTCTTCTACAGCTGCCGTTTCCTTTCAACGATGTCACACAGCACAATCGCTTCATATTTGGGGCAATTTGTCTAAAAATTAAACCAGGTGTAGATCTTCATGCATATAAAGTTTTTGTAAAGCAGTAATAAAATCAATCAAATACTTTTTGACGTATCACCATCCATAAAGCTAAATAATCACCTGCTTTAACCCTTTCTTTGATGCCCCTAAGCAGCACTGCTTCAATTTTGGGGGAAGCGGCCTGAAAATTGAATCAATTACACCCCCCCATGCTTGACTGAGTTATCGTGTTAATGGGATCAAGTGTCAAAACTGGCCATTTTTTGGTTTTCACAATACAGCGTAGCTTCAAATTTTGGGCCATCTGTCTCAAAATTTAAACAGCTTAAGGTCCTCACATATACAATGCCTGCACAAAGTTCAGAAAAGATCCATCAAGGGGTTTTTGGATGATTGGCTCACATATCAGAATGTCTGCAATTATGGCAAAGACAGACCTGTGTTAAAACCATGTGTATTGCCAGAAGACCAGGGAATACATTAACTATATGAATCAAGCTATGTACAGGTATAAAGAAAGACTAACTGTCCATGAAGGCTGGACATGAACCAGCTTGAACCAACCCAGGGAGGAGTCTTGTAAATAACTCTTCAATTTGCTGTTAAGGAAAATGAAACTATGATTGACTGTTATGATTGACCAAAAACTTGTTTGGTCAAAGCAAACAAGAGAAAACAGCACATCTGGCTGCAGCTGTTAGCTGTGCACATCGCATCCCAACCCTCATTCTGAGACGCTATGATGCGATTTGGAGCCACTGAGGCGGCCCGACAGAACACTTTCCTTTCCCGTGTCAAATTCTGCTCAACAGAAGCGGTTCCTCCACAGTTTCGGCAAACAACACGCACGGCATCTAAGCTTTCAGGCTGCAAAAACATCCACATTAAGGCACTCTGCCGGGAAGGAAAAGGCACTAACAGCCAAATCTTTTGGGGGGGGGGGGGAACGGTGTGATGTCATGTCCAGCACAAATAAGAGAGAGGCATTATCGGACATTAGCAGTACCTACCTTTTCTGTAAAAGACAGCATTGAGGAACTCTTCCGCTTGCTTCTCGAGCCTGTTAATTTTGGACTGTTCCTGCTTGCAGATGTCTCCAGACAGTAAAAGTTGGCTGTTTAGGCTGACTAGGTGCTCCTGCGATAAGAGTTGAGAGAAGGATTTCTGTTGTTAATTTCTTAAATATTCTGTTTAAAACAAGTCAAGAGTAACACCATGAAAATGTGAAGGTCTAGCTACCATGTTTCCAAAAATAACTTCTGCAGTATAATACTAGGCCAGACATCTGAGCACAAAAAAACAAGCCCCAAGTTCCACGCCATCAGTGAATCTTAGATAAACGGCATAGGGAGTAGAACCTATGTGAAATGCTCAAGAACGACTGTGGGATTGCAATGGTCACTTTCACAAAAGGCCCAACACCAGGGATTACTGCTTCCACATGGGGACCAAAAATAAGGAAACAATGAACAAACTCATTTTGACATTATAAAAAAGCAATGAATGAGGATTTGTTTTTGCAGCATGCCGCACAGTTAACTGTACGAATGGTTCTCTGTTTGGGCCTGTGAATCAATGAGTCGACTGTTTCATGCCTCTTCCCTGACATTCCCAGCAAAAAAAAGAAAGAAAAAAAAACAGTATTTGAACCCACAGGGTAGGTCAAAGGTTAACTAAAAATAAGTGCCAGTCATTCAAAGATCAGATAAAATCAGATAAAATCTACTCAGGACCATTTCACAAACTACTGAAGCACTGATCAGTAACAAGTTAGCAAGAAAATTCAAAAGAAACAAACACAAGCTAGATAAACACACACACACAAACACAAACACACACACACACACACACACACACAAACACACAAACACACACACACACACACACAAACACAAACACACCCAGTAACTTCTAATTCTGTGTTACAGGGCGAAGACCAAGATGAATACATAGAAACCAAACAATAAAGTCATGTGCATCCTGATTAACAGCCTGGTGCTATGATTATCTGGGTGATGGATGCAGTCATCAAAGCCCTCTAAAATCAATTACAATTCGAGATTACAAACACCTATAAAGTGCAAAGTGAACGTATGGTGATGCCAGAATGCACATGAACAAAGACAGGGCAGTGGGATAGAAAATGAGGAAGTCACAATATTTAAGCTCTGAAATTTCACTGACGGTCTGTGAAATTTAGATGTGCTGATTTGCTCAAATCACTAACAATAATGGCCTGGTGTTTACCATGTAGCATGTTTCTGTCACAGGCAAACCATCCAAAACGTAGACTGATTCAGCTGTAACTTGTTTCTGATCAGCAGGAAACTTGATTTTGAACATTTAAATCGATTGTTGGTTTTTGCGAAAGTTAGTCCGTCCAAAGCAGCTCTTTCAGAAAGACACAATGTAACATTGTGAGCCTGAGTCTGTCCCAGAGGTTTACGATGCAGCTGGTCAATTTAAACTGACAAAGGTGAAATTGTTCTCTTTTATATCCAACACTTGATGCAAAAGGGGGGTTTATACATAATTTTGTGCGATCCACCCCCTCCCCCACCCAAGAATATATGTACAGATGATTTTATGTAATGAAACGACAGCTTAACTCTAAGATCTCTGACCAAAGGCCCTTAAGCTATGCCCAAAACTATCATTAATGTCTTATCATCATGCAGCATTAAAATAAAAGAGCTTCAGTTGATGGAAACATTGACTTTTTGTCTCGCACTTCACGCATTCACAATCAACATAAACACAAACATGGGTGATGGATTCCTAATTGTATAATTACTCATGTGCTTCAGTCATATGATTTCCAAGGGATTCGAGGGCTACAGAGAGACCCTGAAGAATAACCCAAACTATTCTGTGATGTGATGCTGGTGAGCGGCAAGAAGCTAATGTATTGAAAGAACAGTGCATGGTAAACTAAACTGAAGACAGATATAACAGCACTATTCCACATACTAGGGAGTGACGTGGAGCTCAGCGGACTGGCTCACTGAGCCTGTGACTGGAAGGTCACTGGTTCGAGCCCCAGCCATATAGTCACATCTCCACTGGGTCCATAAGTAAGGCCTTTAATGTCCAAAAAAAGGTCCAGAACGTTCAATCATACTGGAAAGAAAAAATCTTGAGGAAAATGACACACACACACACACACACACACACACACACACATACACACACACAGGTTCTGACACCTCTACAATTCTGACACCTGGGAAGGAGGCAGACCCCAGAAGTCTATGAACAACTGCTGAAAAAACAGGCTGCTGTCTTTCTATTATTATCTCAGTCTTTCACTAACTGTGTTACACCCACACAGCAGCACACAAACTGTCTGTCTGTGCACACGCATGCATGCAAGGAGGGAGGCACCTCTGTGCATGAATTTCTACATCTGTCAATTTCTCCCTACAGAAACCATTTCATATATGAATAAATGCAAGCTGGAGTTTATCCTGGACAACATTATCTACCAGGATTTCTTTGTGTGCATATTGGCTGCAGAATGCTGGTGATGATTGACAGCACGTGCACCTATGAGGGGTAGGAGCTGACAGTGACGCCCCACCCACAAAATGAATGAAAAGGTGACCAAAGGTAACTCCCCCCACCAACAGATTCCTAGGCTGCTCACTCCCTCTCTCTCTCTCTCGCTCTCCCTGGCTCACCCCCCCCCCAGATTGTGTAAAGAGATGAGAGGCGTGCATTTCCATGGCCTGGGAAAAAATATCTTGTTGCTAAGTAATCTTGACTGTCAAAAAAAAGAGGGGAAATCATTTATCAGGCCTTATTGTCCTTTGAAAGGGAATAATGTACAGTTTTGAACAATTCTGAAGTGCACGGTTTTCGAAACATGACTGTCGCCATCTCACCTTAACCTCTCCGACACACTGATGGGACACTCATGCACAACAAACAAGACACAAAGTTTGGTTTTAAGAACTCTGCCCATAAAGCAAAAACCACCATCATTCTTCAAGGAAAATCTTTTCCAAAAGGAAAACTGGGGGGGGGAAGAGGAATTTTGGAGAAATTACCTTCACCTTCTCTCGTCTCAAGCAGCAGAAAAGACAATTTTCATCAAACGACCAGTCTGACACGCCTTCGGGCTCGCAATCTGCGGATTCCAGAAGAACAGGGACACGTTTGAGAAGTGTTATGAGACGTGTTGATAGTGGAGACACTAGCTAAAGAGGAAAATGTATCACAGTGCAGCTGCATAGCAAGTGCAATTCATGATGAAATGCAAACACCCAAGACACTACCAAATATCAGAGGGGGGAAAAAAAAACACCTCGATGCACACCTTTCATTTGTTTAATGATCTGGTTTGAGAAGCCCAGGAACACCTGAAAACCTTCATCTCTCTACCAGGATAAAAAGCAGGTAAAAAGGGACATGGTGTAACAATTCCTGGAGCTGTGACAGATGAAGTCAACATCACGGCTTCATTGCATCGTTTCCTACCAACCTATAAAAAGCAACTAAAGAGCAAAACGCGTTAATAAAGAGCTCCCGAAATCACACAGTGCAGGATGAAAATTGTATTTCACGAAGACAAAACCACGAATACGAAAAGGCCGCGATGCCACTTAAAATGAGACGATCTAGCTCCTTATCACCTTGAAGCCACACAATCAATCGGGCTATATGTACACAAAAGGGCTCTATTTACAGGCTGCTATAATCGACAAAAACTTCATGTCTGGACTGTTGCCATGGCAATCTTTTTTTTTTTTTTAAACAGTAGTCCTTCAGAGACCTTTGTTTCAACATACATCAGTATTTTCTCCAACGTTCGGCAAGCTACAGCGCCCCAGCAGTGGACAGTCTATAAAATTTGACCAAAAGAATTCCCACCATTACAGAATGTAAATACTACTCAAGCTACGCCACGCACTAATCAAACTGAATATTTTTAACATCAAAGAAGCAGACTATCGGCCAATATGAAATTTATACATACATACATATACATAAACACACACAAACAAAAACATATTTATATTTTATATATAAATGAAATAAACTTCCCACCCCAAAACCCCAAAGTTATTAAAGTACAAAGGGTACGGTGGCGGCTGCAGTTCTGGAAACCAAAATAGGAAAAAATGCTTACTGCATTATTAATATAGTAATATATTAACATAGTAATGTATTAATTAATATAGTAATACAGTACACACTGAGGAAAGCTTAGTTCTGAAATGTCTGTGTTATATTCATGTTGTTATTAGTGTTATTATTATTATTGTTATTATTATTATTATTATTATTATTATTATTAAGCTTCCTGAGTTGGGACTAATTGTCAATCTGATCATTTTAGTATTGTTGATAATCCAATGATGACTAAGCATCTGAGACTGTAGGGCACAGTGTTTGTATGAACTTGTCTAGACTTTAATACTATACAGCGCCATAATTAATTACTATTAATCATTTCAATTCGGAACCTAAAAGAAATAATTCCGAACAGTTCGGTTGGGAAACGTTACTCAAGCGATTCGTGACTGACTGGCATTTTATCGTTTAAATGATATCTGCGTTATTTAAAGCACAGTTTACATCAATGCTTGACGTAAAGCGAAGCAAACATTGGGGCAATTTTATTATGGTTTTACTTTTTCATAAGACGCAATAAAACCATGCAGACGGCACAAACCAAAAGTACCCATTTCAGGGGGGGTGCGACAAACACTGATTGGGCGATACCCACCTTAGCATGAAAATCAAAGCAGTTTTCCAATCTTAAGGTTTGCCCTCTGAGCTAAACCAAACCATTTACTAAAATGATTAGCTAATAGCAATACCTTTATTCTTCTAATCCAATATCACAAGGCACTTTGCAGAAAGTTCCAGATAAGACCAGATCCAACTTTGTTACTAAAAATTTTATTTAAAAAAAATCAGGACTCCATGTTTTGAAACTCAAAGCATAAGCATTTGAACAGCGAATTTATAAATGGTAACATATCTGATCACATACATCTCAAAAACTTGTTTTATTGTTGCAAATAAATGTAAGGTAAACTAAATAAGATCACAAATAAGCATTGTCGTTATGTGTCTGCTGCACAATGACTGACACATTGTGCAAAAAGATGCCATTATTAGGGAACTATTTTGCAAGCATCTGCATTTATGTAGACTATTTTTGAGGAAAATACGGAATTTGATACATTTAGACCTAAGTATAAATATATGTATCCATTTACATTTGTGGACGGCACACGGACAGCTCTCTGTCCGATTTCAAGGATTGTTCCGGATACCGATCACAGATGTTCCGCGGGAGAACTGGTACCTCTTTATTCGAGATGAATATTGACTCGTCGTGTTTATGGTCGGTCTTACTATAAAGGAGGAGAAGAATAAGAATATATATTTTTGCAGAGTGAATGAAATTCTTCTTCGCCAGTTTACAGAGGACACAGTTATATTCTAGGCTACCGGAATTTCATATTTCCATATCTCATTCTACTAACGGTCCGCATTGCGGAATCTGGGCCCGCTTTGATTGACGGTATTGTTTTAAATAACATAATATTGACATATTTCTGGATGTAAAACAAAAACAAACCATTATAAAACGCATTGTCTGAATGCATGACTAAAAATTATTCAACAGGCTAACCAGGTTTCCTGCCACCAATCCCTGCTTGGGGTTATTAACTGTAATAAAGCACAAAGGAGACAATTCCACGTCCAGGACAGTATAAAGGTGCTGGCGGCAAAGTACCCCCTTAAAGGCACCAATGAATTCCAATCCCAAGTTGGGTGCCATGCTGGTTCACGTTCTGCTAGAGTTTCTGTATGAACCTAGAACCTTACTCCTGCCATTATTATATAGATTATATAAGCAAACTGCTTCAGTAGAAGCAACTTAGTGTTAAGCTTTACATTTTCATATAGAGAAATGGACGTTAAAGCTAAATAAACCATATCCATTTAATTTTTTTCTTCATTATCATCCAAATAACAGACCTGAAAGCAAATTTTCCTCAACTCATTCTAATTCCAATAGAATCAGAGATTAATTCAATGTCATCCCTCCCGTGAGAGAAAAACTGTACAAGTTTTATAAGTTAATGACCGCGCCAAGATGACGTGGGGGTTCTCCTGGAGCGAGACACCATTCACAAGCAGAACGAGACGACTCGTGTTCGATCGAGACCTCCGCGTAGTTAAGTAGCAATAACTCGGCATGCTGGAGGGAGCAGAGCCGTCACAGATAACGCGAGTGCCACCGTATTGCCGCGATTCCGTCGACGTTTGGGTAAATTAAGTGACACCGCAATTACCAGCCATTACAAAGCAGCTGTTGTGTTTTGGAAACTCAGAAGAGGGGAAGCCGGCTTGCTGACAAGTGACGCTTACTGTCACTGAGGTCACGCCCCCCCCAGCCTTGCCATCACCAAAAATAAACATACAAAGCAGCAAAAGAGCGCGCCGAGGTACCAGCAGGGTCACACTGCCTTCCGAACGCAAACAATCACTGCAAATTTGCTGCACTGCTCTGGTTGAGATGCTATTTGACTTGTCACTTATCTGTAATTTTTAAAGCATTTACTTTGTCTATTTCAAACTTCATCAATAACTATTACAGTTAAAACATTCTAAACAGTATGCCTGAGATCAGCTTTTGATAAAGCTTTTGATACGGCTTGACTTTACTAAAAACCCGTTTTAAAGAATCAGTGAAATGGTAATCATCGCCTAAGGGATAAATAAAATGTGTTTAACAGGTCAGCAATTTTCACTGGAAGCGTGCAGGTGGATCTTCACCTGTAAGTAAACATCAGTCGGCCCAGTACGCCCCATACGACCCCTTCTATAGATGATCTGATCCGAAACATTTCCAAAAAAAAAATAATAATTCTTTTGTCGTATTTCCGATATTCGAGCTGATTACTGTCTGCACTGAGCTCTGCTGAAATTACCCTGTTGACTTCACCTAAAAGCCTCTTCTCGCCGTTTACCCTGTAACACTGCTAAAGATGTCCACAAAACCTGCAGAGTTTAAAGAACCTTCACCGCTGACGACTCGCAACACCAGGATTCCAAACCGCGAGGCAGACAGGAGACACAGACGCTAAACCCGCACGCTAATTTACCATAAACCGGCACTCGCAGGATGACTTATCTCCCCTTGGGTTGGTTCTTCCATTGGTTCTCAGCAGGTTTAACCAGCCTGTGATTGACGATGGCAGCTCATCCCTTCAATCACTAATGGAGGACCTGCTGTCCTGCCAGTGTCAGACCAAAGGTTCTGCCCATAAATGAAACCAGAATGCAGGTCATCTCCAAAGTAAAGCTGAATGTTATTTTTATATATATATGTGTGTGTGTGTGTGTTTAAAAAATAAAAAAAAAAGGTTTCCTCACCTTGAAAAAGGGTAAGATCTTTTATGAGTCCTGGCCCAAAGAGTCCCTCCAAGATGCTTTCAAACCCTGCAGACAGAGGGGAAAAGACAACTTGAACTACTACTTGAGATTAGATGTGGACCTTACAGTGCTCATAAATCCATTAACAGTCATAATCAACCTGTGGATTCTCATAATTCTTAGCAATAGTGTGGGGGGGGGGCAACGTCAGGTTCAGGCTTCCGAACCTCTTCAGAGCCTAAGGTACATATTTATTTTTGAGGGTGAAAAAATCATTAAATTATTTCTCTTATATTCAAATGTGCATGTTTTACATATATCAAAGGAAAAATGCCATTCTATAAACACCCAATACTTGGCTTTTCATCCCCCACACCTCTTTACCCTCCCCCCCCAAAGCAAATCACCTCCTTTGCCTAATATAATAGCATGCACCAATGTCACTCACTTTTTATTAACTGTAAATACTGGATTCGGCTGTTGCTTAGCAACCATGCTGAGCAACACGAGTACATATGGCAGAGGCTTGCACAAAAAGAACAGTTAAGTGAGCACAGTTAAAAAAAAGAAGAACCAATCAGACTGGGGGTGGGGTTTATTCCTCCAATTTGAGCAAACCAACTGAGGACAGGAAAGTTGCGCTCGATGGAAATAGTTAGGCTGGGGTTAAGGGACGTGTTCGAAATTTTAACCGTCAAAAAAAAATAAAAATTCCTTTGCTCCTCTTCAAACCTGTAACGTTGAGGTCTGGCTCTTTCCACTGGCCGACAAAAAAAAAAGTCGGGTTTAGTTTAACACTTGCAGACCTCTCACACTGCACACCTTTCCGGACCCAAGGAAAGTACAACAGCGTTTTTTCTTTCCAATGCTCTATCAGTGAATAAGCGAAGCAGCAAAACCTTGCTGGGGTAAATTCAGCAGGATCTCTCTTTATGCACCAGCTCAGGACACAAAAACCACTGACACAACATCAGTTAATACAAATCCTGAATTATTTCCCTTGTAGCTCTTCCATTCTGGGCACATTAAAATGATGGAGGTCTTTCCCACGATTGGACGGGGTCAGTGATCCCTATTACAGGACAAACTGCTCCTAAGCCTCCAATGGAAGCAGTTCTTATTCTCCTGCTCTGACACAGGGAATCTCACTGTCTCATAATAATCATCTTTTTAAACAAGCAAGGGACTATGTTTGGCAAAAAAAAAAAAAAGCCAAAATTGTATGTGAAGGACCAATGGAACAATTTCCATTTCTACAGTTTGTCAAATGAACAACCAGAAGGAACAGACCTCACTTGTACTCTCAAATGAATTGAAACACAAAGACAAAGCATCTGTTGAAATAAAACAGCTACTGGTCCACCATGCCAAAAACCATCCCGCGCTCCATTACGCAGGTCCATCGCTTCAGCGCTTTAATGTTCCCCACAACCATCCAAGTGGACCAAAAAAAATAAAATATTGGCAATGCTTTGGGTAAATTTTGTGTCCAACATGTTTTTCGGAAGGTCACTTAACGTACTCAAAGACGCACCCCCCTGCCAAATATTTAATTTGGATTCATTCACCCCTCCCCCCCAATTAAACAGACCTTTAAATTTAAATTATTAAGCATAGTTCTCCCCCCATGTCATGCTCTCCTCTACACCGTGAATACAGACATTAATGAGCTATTATAATATATACAGTTTCCTTCTCACATCTGAGGAACAAAAATTGTTTTGGTGGCTGGTAAATCTGCAAGAACAAAGACATACAAAATCTGACATGAAAAATCCAATTACTCATTCATGATACTGCAGTTTATAATTACAGCCGGTTTTTACTGAAGCGACCCAGGCTGACGGCACCCCCCTGCAGAACCCCCCTGCAGAACCCAGCTGCCTGGATTTGGACGGGATTTTCAGCTTGGTCCTTAAGGTGATAAAGTATTTAAAGATTTACTCCACGTTAAATTAACGATGATTCAGACCGCAGGGTACGGTTTCCCCTTTACCATGATTCCGGAAACACGCCCTCCCTGCCACTACACGGATTCACCGAGCGGGACCCGCACGCGCCGACCTGCACACGAGGCCGCAGACACCCAGTGACCCACACCCAGAACCCGCAGGAGCCATCAAAGACCCGCACGCGAGGCCGCAGACACCCAGTGCGCCACCCAGACCCAGAACCCGCAGGAGCCGTCAAAGACCCGCACGCGAGGCCGCGGACACCCAGTGCGCCACCCACACCCAGAACCCGCAGGAGCCACCAGACATACATTTCAAGGTCTTCAGAAGGGAAAAAATTATGAGAAACAATACAATGGCTTTCAAATTAAACAAAAAAGATGGGCAGTGCGGCTGTGATCCTTCTTTGTCGCCTTCTCCTCTTTTGTATCATCAGCCTGTTATTATTTTTCGTTTCCTTAATGCACTCGCAGTGCAAACTGATCTGTAGAAAGTGGCAGCGTAAACACTGCATCCCGCTTAACACGGCACCAGCATCCGGCCAATTACCGCAAATTAAAGAGCCGTGAGACTTTATCTGGCTTTGAAGGGACGGTTTAAAGGCTCAGGAATCGAAAGGGCTCTAGAAGTCAACCGTGACCTTAATGCAAAATGGCAGCTCTGTCAGCAAAGCCCACATGCCTCGACTTCAGAGGCGGAGCCAGTAAAACCGGTTATGTTGGACCGCGGGTTAACCAGGCAGTGATGTTAACCAAACCACATTACGGCAACAACTTCTTAGCCACATCAAAAGACATGAGGCGTCTTGGATAAAAGGCTCAGCCAAATACAGAGAATGCAGTAGACATTTCAAAATGATCCTACAGCGAGTGAAGGACGCAATCAGGGAGCCCCATCCAAGCTGACACTGAGCAAGTGGAAAACGCCACAGAACCTCGCACCACTTTCGGAATGGGGGGGGGGCAGTTAAACAGCCTTTTGCTAAAGTCCTGAAGAGTCCTGAAGTATTTTTCATACTAATAAAACTGGGTCACTTTGAAGGAGAGAGCCAGGCCAAATGTCGCAGACAAACTTGGAATCACAAGCGTCGAGCATTTTAATTTAGTCTTCACGCCTTTTCTCAGGCTTTCCGATCAACATCCGATCTACGACAGCGGGAACTGAGACGGGAGAAGGGCACAGAAGACGATCACGGCAAGGAAGTGCGACCTGCTGAGAAAACACAGGGGGAAAAAAAGGCAGATTTCTGCACTGCCTGAGAACGCCTGAGGATTAAAATGTGCCCACAGCCTTGGAGAACCGCTGCACACGCTGCCCCCCCCCGCCCCCCCCCCCCAAGCAGACACCAAGCGGACGCGCTTTGGGACGATAAGAATACATTCACCAAACATATAAAAGATACACTTTTCGGGGTGTGAAAATCACTACCGTCTATGTATTTCTGACCAATTAATTATAATTTTTCAGAAGGCGAGAAGTAAACTGAATGAATTAAGTTATTCTTTCATTCTTGTTATTATAAGAAGTTAACTGCTAACTTAACCTCAAGTAACTTTCGTTAACACACAAAATGCAACTAGTGTTTTAAAAGGATTTAGCTCTTGTAACGTGGACGCTAGTTCTGCTGGATCTGTAACAGATCCTTGAACTTCATTGATTATCATGACAGAAAGCCAGTATACACAGGTATGCTCCCTGACCGGACGAAGAGCAGGTAGCGGAGGAGGTGCGAGGAGACAGACACTGAATATGCTTTGTCTTCTGAAATTTATCTTTCCTTAGGTAACACCAAGTCTAAATACTGAATTTGTATAAAAAGCATTCGTACTAGACACCGAAGAACGAAATGAGATGACTGGAAAAGTGTCAAGCAACATAGACAAGTTCTGGGTGACTTCAGCTGGCGGGCGGTGGGGGGGAAGAAACCGCACAACTTCATTTGTTTTTGGAACTCCATGGGGTTTGCAAAAGCAAAACAAACAAAAAAAAAAACAAGAGAACAGCTGGTAGGCCCAAAAAACAGACAGTGCCGAGGAAGGAGGAGAGAGCGCCAGTGCAGTCACTGTCGAGGCAGTTCATTCAGACATCATTACTGCAGCACAACCTTAATGCCAGGAGGAAGCAACGAGCACCGGGCGCTAACGAGAGCCCAGCGTGGCCCAATCGATAGCCATTAGGAGCGCGGCGCGGCGGCGGGGTCAGCGGCCGGGCTTGATTAAATCCGCGGAAATCCCCCTAAAGCAAACGGGGGCACTTATTTCACTTCCAATTAAAAGATCCGACACACGAAAGTGTCAGCGCACAGCAAAACGCAGGTCGCTAAATTATAAAAATTTAAATACAAATTAATTAGCAAAGCTGGCTAATTAATTTCGCCCGTCTCTGGAAACATGTTGGTGCATCGCGGCTGCCAAGATTACGTAGCCGACAGGAGCGGGTTCGACTCCGGCACCTGAGCGCCGCACACTTCACAGCCCAATTATCGTTTAGAAGAAAAACAAAAAGTCACCGGAACACTTCACCTCACGCGGTAGCGACTCCGCACACCGGTGAGTGTGGCGGCTCTCCAATTAACCTCAGGCAGCGCGGACGGCACACCGCGCCGCATGTCTCCGGCGGCCGTAACCAAAGGGCGCGGCGCGCGATGGCCCAAACTGTTAAACATGGCAGCGGGAGACCCCGTGACAAGGGGCGCCGTCCGGGGCACCGGCTAGCCGATAAATTAGCCTCACGTTACATCCCTACAAGCGGTGAGAGTGGAGGGCCATGAGCCAATCGCTGGAGCGCGGGCTCCCGCCGCACGGCAGACTCACGACAGCCACACATGAAACCGAGGACGGGGCGTCACCACAAAGCAAGCAGAGCGTCTGCACAACACAGGCAAAATAATAATTACACGGTGAAAAAGCGGCACGGTCTGCTGGATCGATTAGAGCCTCCTCCCCGGTCACACAGAGCAAAGGCATACGGACACAAGGACAAGCCCACATCAGGCTTCCTAATGCATTTTAATGGACGCAATAAAAAGCTAATTAACATTTCCCAATTTAAAGGTTCACGTTCCGCTGTGAGGGTGCCCTTCCGTAGATTAGCTGGGATACACTGGAACACATC